AAGACAGCAAGCACAAGAATCAGATAATGCTCAGGGCATTTCATTAAAATTAGGTGGTGTTATAAGCCCAAAATGTATTTTATTTAATTTAATTTAGGGGAAGCTTGAAGTGTGTTAGCAGATGACAAGATTTGCCAGGGGACACACTTACCTGTTCCGCAAGCACAGCGAGCACAGCACCAAACTGCCATAGGCTTCAGTGAACTTCTGCAGAGCTCTCAGTCCTGTCACTGGCTCTGTGAACTTTTGTCTTGCTTCTGCTGCTGAAAAGAGCTTTTCAGCAATCTGCTCTGGGAAACCAATCAAGGAGTCAATGTGATCTACATTGTCAGAAATGTAACCCAGCACTAGGCTGAAGAGGGACTTGGCCGAGTAGCGGAGGTTCCCCTCCTTGGTGTACGTGAAGATGAAATGATCAGTCCTCTGCCTCCTTGCCCTATCATCCTCCCTGTTCATGCAAAGCTCCACTGAAAAAGTTCTGGAAAACAGACTAAAAGGTCTTGCTTTGGGAGTGACATTCTGTACGCCGCCTGCACCCCGATTTACCACGTGCAGCTTCCCATTTTCACGCACGTATATTGGCCCAGTATCCAAATGGCTTTCTGAGTGGAGACAGTACGACATTCCCCTTGACCAGCTCTGCAAAAACAAATCACAGTCAGGTGAAGAACAGCCACAGAGGAAAACATGACCCAGGGAAGCCCCCAAAGCTGGCAGCTCCCCTTAGAGCCCTGAGCATGGCCACGTAGCAAGGAGGGCAGGCTGTGTGGAGCAGGGTGTGAGCTGCCTGCCACACACCCCGTGCGAGTGGGAGCTGGACCCCGGGCTGGCTGAGACACCCGGGATGGATCCCAGGTCGGGGATGGAGATAGGGGCAGCAGGAGAGGGGCTGGGGTTGAGTGGGAAGTGCCCCCACAACCAGTCCTGGCTCTGCTGCAGGCAGGAGAAGGAGGAGGAAGAGGAGGGCACATGTCTGACTGCAGCTGGGCAATGGAGCCTGCTGGAACCTCCCTCCCCGGCAGGGTGGGCATCTCCCGGTGCCCCTCACCCAGCCGGTGCCGGGGGGCTCTGAGCGGGGTCCCGGCGGGGGCAGGAGAGCCCAGAGCGCCATGGCGAGGGGCAGGGCAGGGACGGGATCCTCTCACCTCCCGGCCTGCGGGGCTGGCGATCGGCTCCTGCGGGGCGGGAGGAGACCGGGCCCTGCCCGAGGGGTGCCGGGGGTACCGGTAGGGATGGGGAGGCGGGTGCGAAGGGATCGGGTCCAACGCGGAGAGGGGTCAGGGGCTACGCTGGGAAGGGTCTGTGAAGGGATCGGGTTGTGCCCGGGGCTGAGCGCGCCGTGAGCGGGCACAGCCCCGAGGGGCATAAGAGGAAGGGGCGCCAGGGGAAGGGGCACAGGGGGAAGGGTCCCCGCCCAGGCAGGGAGGTCAGAATCCCGCTCGCTCCCCGATCCCCCCGGCCCCCACCTACCTGCCCCGGGAGGGGCCGCGCCGTCAGCCGGGCCGGGGCTCGGCGCTCCCGCCGCCCGTCCCGCAGCGCCCGCGGG